TTTTATAAAGAATGGGCATTCCCGCTTTTCCTGAAGCAAACCGTTCCCATGCTCATAGATTGCAGCCACCATGAGGGCAACACTGACTTTCTGCATTGCAGTTCAGTCCATGAACATGCATATAAAGAAAAAGCTAGATTAGAACTATGCTGAGCATTAAACGTTAGTGAAGCAGTGCGCTTACCACACGTCTCATTTCCTGTTCTGCCTATGCTCCATCCTCTCCGCTTACAAAGAGGTTAGCTTTGTTGTCTTCCTTAATGCTCGCTTACAAGTTTAGCAAAAGCCCTTCCTACTCTTAGTCATCTGCTAGCTTGTACGTGAAGTTACGTAGAATTGTAGCAGATCCCATGAGATGCCTGCTGCGAGCAACCGCTCATAGGGAATTATTAGAACATGCAATTGTGCTCTGCACAACGCAGGGAATCACCAATTAAAAGCCCTTTGCACTGATTTTCCCTGGGAAGGAAGGGAGTCTTCAGTTTCTGGCTAACTCTTTTCCTTCCTGAATAACTTTCTTCTGTAAAACCTCATTTTTTAAGGTTCCTCTTTTGTTAGTCTGACTGAGGACAAGATTCCCCAGAGCCTAGAAATCAATGGAGAGGGTTACTGATGCAGGGCAAAGGTTGTTTATCTCAAAGCAGAGTTTTTGTCTAGCGTTGCACCTCTGTCACTCTCCTCAAATATTGCCCTAGTGAGGAAGGGTATTTCTGGTTTAATTTCTAATGAAAAACAGGTTGCTTCTCAGTTAAACCGATTTTGAAAGTTTTTGAGAGTAGCCAGGTCTAAATGGCTGTTTCTCGAGTTCCTGTGATTAGTGCTTGAGATGCTACATTACTGATCAGTCGATTATTTAAAACATTTATCTGGTCTCCTGTTTGGAAATTATTTAAAATTTTACAACTACTCCGTGTGGTGCTTAGAAGAGTTAATGAGCCAGATAAGTATTGAAAGGGCATCTTGAAAGCTTAGGTACTTAAAAACTGTCACTGGGCTACTTTCCTTTGCCCTTTCACTTAAAACATTGTTTCATTGTGTAGATAACTGTCTTGCTGACATTATGACTTTAAGGATTCTTTTTTTGTCTAATTGTAGTCCAAATGCCTAACAGAATGTGCACCACAGCCTGGGGACATGGTAGGTTTTTGACATGATTTGGGCAATAAATGGGTTTCATGTGCTAGTGAATTTTTGCATTAGAGAAATGGAAATAAAGAGGGTCTGATAAGCCACATCTGTCAACAGCCTTAGAGGTAGGAAGCACGTCCCAGGACACAATCTCTGTTTAAAAAAAAAAAAGGGGGGGGGGCCAGAAAATCATTACTACTAACTCTAAAATGTTTGTTCTGTTAAAACATGAAACTTTAGCAGTAATTAATATTACGTTCTCATTTCAATTTTTGCCTTGATTTTCAGAAGGTGGCTGTAACGAAAAACAATAAGGAACACAGACTAAAAGGAAACAAATTGTCCTGTGCGGTGGGTTTCTCTCCAAGGCTGCTGTAACTTGTTCAGTGTAACAGTGTTGCATTTCAATAGTAGTACTTTTATGCAAAATAAGATGGTCTAGCAAGCCCTATTTCGTGGCTCCTCTCTGTCCTTCTGGTGTTCTCTCCCTCTCTAGTATTAGTAGTAGTAGGAAGAGTAGCTGGTTGCTCATGTGGTTACATCTGTTGCTTTCTTCAGAATTTGAATTTGTTTTTGTTGTGCTCTACTTGCTAGCTTAATCTAACATGCAGCACGGTTGCAGCCTCAGCACAGTTTTCTTGCTTGCTGTCCTACAACAGAGCTAAAGCACTTTTGATGCTTAACAAAAAAGGACATTTAGTTTATACGGTTGAATTCTCATGATCAATTGTGTAATCAGTGCTGTGGGACTTCCAGTCTGGCATTTTGTTCCATCTCAAATATTTATACAGAGTGGCTTCCTGGGCCTTTTTCGCTGGTTGTTGACAGACGTTCCAGGTGCAGTTTGCACCATCCTTCAGATTTTACTCCAAAGTGAGGCTTTCTGGATGTGGTGCTCACTGTTAAAATTACCGTTGACTTCTTTAAATTTGGCTTCCTCTGCTGTGGCCACCAAGCTTTGACTTCTGTGGTTTTAGTTTAATACTTATAAAGATGTTCATCTGCTGTCATTTATGCTGGCTGCTTTCTTGAATTTACATCTTATGGGAGGAAGTAGTCACTTTCTCATTTTTAACCACTTAAATCTTTGCAGTATTGTCCTGAACAGCATTTCACACTAATGAAATATTTCAGCTGTAACTAATGGAAGTCTTTCCTTGGCAGCCCTTAAAATGGTGTAAAACAGTTTTATGTCTTTGAAACACTGAAAATCATGGCTTAATGCTTTTCTAGTGTTGTTACTATAAAATGTGTTTATCCTTCTAAATGCTGGCGAATGAGCCTTGTCCTCTTATGTAAACTAAACCATGAGTTCTGTTTTCTGCGCTTGGAAGTATTTTGATGGCTGTCGCTCTTTCACTCTAATGTCAAGTAAATTGGTCCTTTCAGCCCTAGTACTTGCCGGGAAAATAGCAGTTGTATATATGTCAAGGTGTTCAAAGACTTAAAATGGGTATCGTGTTGCATTTATTTTTAACAGCTTGTTGCTTTGGATGCTTCAAATCCCATTATAGAAAAATTGACTTCTAGAAAGGTGCTTTGCATGGTGCTTACCTAAACTGTCTGCTAGAACAGAACTGATGTGAAAAACAGTACAGCTTTTTTCTAATGTCCGGCCTGCCTTTACTGACACATGCAATTCAGTAGGAATGTTCTTTATTTTCCAATTCTCAGATGGATTCAGCAAACTTCACTAGTGCTAATATGGGTCACGAGGGCAGAACTGGTGGGCCTAAAACCAAAAGATTGAAACTCAATATACTGGAGGTCAGTTAACCTCAGGGTGAAAGCTTCTTCATCCCTTCAACTCCTTGATTTTCAGGTGTTGGCAAAATAACTGAAGCAATGAAGGCCAAGAAAGCACAGTCGGTGGATTTAGTCCATCAGGCTGAATGTGAGCCTGAAAATGTGGAAGGGAGGGACTCATCCTAAAGAGCATTTACTTAACTGAGGTGCTTCACTGTGGGAAGGAGAGAAAAAATGTGCATGTCATTTTGCTGTTAACGTTCTCTTTGTGTCTCATAGTCCTCCAGCAGTGATAGCGGCAGCAGCAGCAGTTGTAGTAGCAGTAGCATCAACAGCCCTGACAGAGCAAGTGGTCCAGAAACCAGCTTAAACCAGATAATTGCAGGATCCAGTCCTGTCACCTCTCAGTCCTTCCATGAGCAATCTGCACTAAGTCAAGGTCCTTACTTCCACATCAACCAGATCCTGAAGGAGGCACACTTTCACAGCTTACAGAATCGAGGACGCCCTCCTACATGATGAACCAGCAGTTCCTTGCCTTCTGTGAAGGGACAGCACTGTGTAGATTTGATATTTCAACTTAAAAGTTTGTTAAAATGGAATTGCACAAAACGCCTGTTGCCTTTTCAGTCTATATTTGAAATAACAGGTTAACAGGAAATTGTTTACTTGTGGTTTGCTGCACTATTGCAATGCAAAAGGGGCTTTGAAGCAATTTTTATAGGATTCTTTTTGGGGTGGTTATAAAGTACATGTCAAGGTGAGACTGAGGAATCCACATCTGTATTATAGGATTGCATAATGAGTCCAATTCCAATTGACTGCCTAATCTGTTTGTTAGCAATTTGTTGCTTTATGTAAAGTTATTTCAAACATTCATCTTCAGTTTTATAAGTCTTTTTTAATTTCAATAAAATAGTAAAAAATTTCTTTGGCAAAATAATTTTTTTGGAGGCATGATGCTTGTTAACTGAGCATTTAGACTTAAAAAGAAAGACCCTGAGAATATCTGCTGTTACTGGAATCCTTTAGGACTACTCCAGCTGCAGCTTTCCACCCAGCTTAGTGTGTGACAAGCCTTATCTTGCTTTATCTTTACTGCTGCAGCGTTCAAAAGAAAATATGAAACTAGAACCAGGAAAGCTTAGGCAGCTGTAGCCAAACTATCAGGTGCCCAGAGGGACCCTTTAGATAGCAGAATCACGATCTCTTGATTCATGAGGAAAGTATAGAGTAGCTTGGAGAGAGGCTTTTGAACAGGGAGAAAGTAGTCTTGCATAGCTCAAACACCAGTTTCTAACTGTGAAATGTTTTGTTTCCCATTAAATTGTGTACTATTCTTTAATTTGACTTTAAGGTTAACAACTCCTAAGGAACAGGAAGTGGAAGAGTAGCTAGACTTCTGTTTCAGTAGCCAGATTGCAAAGACCATCCTGACTGATGTCTGGTTTAAGTAGCAAACTTGGATCTTGCTAAGGATGGAAAAGTAGTCCTCTTCTGATGATAACGGTAGAGGTGTTAACAGACCCTGTTGAGAGGAGAGCGTGAAGATAGATGAACATATAGACAAATGGGTGGGCTTTGTTTTTTTTTTTTATTTATTTTATTTTTAATTGAATCACTTGGTCATGCCTGAAAGCCATCCCAGCTTGAAGAGAGAAGGTGCAGCTGTGTCTTCCTCCTCGGTTACAAGCTGCCTGAACAAAGAGCCAGGGCGGAACGTCTCGTCTTCTGCTCTTGTGAGCGCAGGAGGTGGAGCCTGTATTTTTTAATTTTTATTTTTTTAAGAGAGAGTCAGTAACTATTACAGCATACCTTTGCTTTTTTCCATACCCTCACCTACAGTAGCTGCAAGGAGGCATGGACTATGGCAGAACAGCTGTTCTCAGGCAAGCGGAGCCTGAACCCCAAATGAAGTTGTGTTACTGCCACAATAAGTGGTTAGTGACAGGCAGGACAGCAGCAGTTCTGAGTGGTACAAGCACAGTTTCTTGCTGTTGTTAGCAACAGTTGACTTTTCAGATGTCATTCAATGCTCAAAAGTAATCATCCTGCATTGCAGGAGGGAAGGGGCTGTTGCTCTCAGTGCAAGGGGGGATAACAATGCTAAAAATACAGCTCTAGCCTTTGTGTAGAGAGCCGTTCTTAAGTAACTGTGGACTTTAACTTCTCCAGAACCCTTTTGGCATAAAAGAGGAAGCAAGCATCTGTCAGTAATTCAGAGAAGTGCGGCTAGTGCAGAATAGATATGTCACCACAGCCTTTGCTACTGCCACAACAGGAGAGGGGAGCGGTAGGAGTGAGACAGACATCGCTACACACTTCTACAGTCTACTACGCCTGAGGTATAAGAGGTAAAGAATACCTTCATCTTGAAGCTTCAGGCTTTTATACAACCCTTATACTATGTCTAAACTTTAATGCTTTTGTACACTGGAGAACAAGAGTTGTAGAGTAAAAGTTAGCATCTCAGGTAACACCCTGCTCTGATAAAAATCAGATCTTTACTCTCCTGTGCCAGTTAAAAGGACATCACCATAGATAGTGGTACTGGGTTAATAATGGCTAAAGGAAACAGATTGCTAAATACAGTTTCCTGTAACAGTGAGGTATTCCTTGGCTCTCTGTCCTCAGCATGGGAAGCTTCATCTAAACAGATGTTTCATACTGTGGGAAACATGTAGCAATGTAACAGCTAATAAAATTCAAACACTGGACAACACGGAGCGTTTGCAGAAGCAAGCCACTCAATTCACGCAGGCTTAAATACCCAAGCCAGACTTCATCGGGAGTTAAAGGTCAGCATCATACTGGAAGAGAGTTCAAATAATTAGGTATCCTTCAGGTATCCTTCAACGTTTCTTGAAGCCATCCTTAAATGAACTAAGTCTTTTATGCATTGATCTCAAAATGCCTCATCTGTGTCAGTTTTATGGTAGTTATTGCCTATGTTTTATTGCAGAGCAGTGCGCCTAAAAAATCCAGGTGCCATCAGTGTGTGTGTCTGTGGTGTGTTTTTTTTTTTTTTTTGAGGGGCAAGGGGAAATCCAAACCATCTCATGCTGTGTTGCCATAATGGTTCTCTCATTTTACAGAAAATAAAAATCAGGATAAATATTACTATGTTTGGCTACTTTCTTCTTTCCCTGCAAGTTACAGTGTAGGTGGGAGAATGAGCACAGGCAAAAAGTTAGTATGGCTTTATTTTACCAACCTGAACTCTTTCTGTGTTTCTGGTAGCAGACTTGGTCTTTCGTGAGCTGGACATACTCAGCGGCAGAAGTCCAAATCTTAAAAGAGATGGAATAAAGAAATGCAATCAGTAGCACAGAAGCAACAGTTTTTGCAGTGTTTCCTAAAGAGATGTGGGAATGCACAGCATAGCTGAGTAACTTACCTGATCTGACTGGATGCTAACGGCAAGATATTATGGAGCTCTTGGGAGCTCAGGGCACTGCTCCTACTAGTGTATTGGTTCTCCGTCCCAGTTAACAAGCCAAAGAGAACCTAGAAAACATGAACGAGCTGCTAGTATTTGAGGGCATCTGTGGAGCTGATCACATAAATGGCACACTCCCACTGAGTCTACTGTATTTTGGTAACATTCCAGAATACTTGTTGCTTAATTATCCACGTTTCAAGTTTGAATGTTACGTGTCTCTCTCTCTCCACCCTCTTTAATGCTTGCTTTTATTTGGTGCTGCTAGCTATTATCATAGTTGAGTTCTAGGCCTGTTTCAGTATTACCTAACCCAATTAGTATCACACAGGCTCCGGTGAATCCTGTTAGACAAAGTTGAGCCAACTCCATGCATGATTATGTGCTATGTAGCCAGCTCAGCAAGCTACTCTTATCTTCAGCCGGCTTTAAATACTCTTTCTGTTCCTGACTAAGTGCCAGTAGTTATCTTTGGGTATTAAGCAGTTTATAAACCAACCAAAGCTGCCCTTGTAGAGCGCAACAAACTTGTTTTGCAACATTGCTTCCTGATGCGTTCTTTCCTTTTCCTGAACTTACCGAGGTTCGTTGAACCAGGCGATTAAGGTTGCTATTTAAGTGTGGAGTAAAAACATCCAAGTCAAATGGATCTATGTGTCCTTCCAGGAAGTCAGTCATCTTCTCAATCCTACAACCAGAGCAGAAGAGTCCTGTCAGTGTTATATCTTAGAGCAGGACACAAGAAGGATGGCTGCTGATGAAGACAGGGTGGTTTTATTTGTCCCTCTGAAACCTTGAGGGACTTACCCTTAAGAGGTGACTAAGCAAAACAGGAATTGCCTAGCAGAACAGCAGCTGTTTGAAGGGTTTCCAGCTATTACAAATGCAAAGTCTGTGCTGCATAGGAAAATTCACCCTGCTGTAAGCCTTACAGAAAGATGCCTCAGTCTCAAGTCTGGAACATAGACAAGTTTTAGACTCTTGGGTCAGAGCCTAACTATTCTCTCCAGGAGCATTCTCTGAAGGTATCCCTGCTGCCGCATGGACATGCTGCATACCCAAGCAGAGGGGACCAGTTGCTGTTTCCAAACTGTCAGCCTCGGAATCCCATCCCTCCTTCTACGTTTTGAGGATGAGCTTAGCGTCAGTGAAGGGAGTCAGAGAACAAAGCTCGCTCTCTGACTACAGGACAGACCTGTTCCCAGGGGCAGCGCAGAGAGGAGCATCTGTGCTGCTCTTCGGGATATTCTGCTTGGCCCAAAGACACCACCTCTGCAGATACTCTCCTGACTACTGGTAAGTTTAAACAGTTTTGGGGCCCCACAAGCTACTGCTGGGATCTGAATCCCACAGCTGTACCGCACCCGGAGTCAGGCTTGATCCTGCTGGCTTTTGCTTCCTCGCTCTTTGCTGTCAAGATGATATTCAGGTACCGCAGATCATAGAGTAACTGCAAAGCTCTGTTCTGGGTCATGGGGAAGGTGCCTTCTTTCTGCAAATAGGACGGTCAGGGAAAAAAAGGCTGTCTTGACTCACAGAGTAAACAGGGCTTTCAAAGGACTGCTGTAGGCTAAACATTTAAAAATGCTGGCATCAAGAATCAACCAACCCAGCTGAACCATTCAGAGCAGGCAATCTAGTGTCAGATCCATGTGTTGCCTCTTTTTTGGGGGGGGGGGGGGGGGGGGGGGGG